ACACTTGAATAAAAAATGTTAATATTTTCGCAAAGAATGATACTTTATAATTACCATACTATACATTCAAACACACACACACATATTTATATATTATAATTCTTTGCCAAAATATTCTCAGGCTCTTATTTAAGCATCTTCACTTTTTTGGCTTCTAATAAATTTGTAACACCTCCAGATTTCCATGACTGTGTGTGTACACATACACACATATGTTAGATAGAATTTTATATGTAATTTATGTGTACTTTTTATGTGTCATTTAGAATGAACTCCCCTCCCCCTGGAGTTGTGGTTCCTTAGGGCCTCACTGACAAGCCTTCTGAGCTTGTCAAAGTCAGCTTTCCTGAAGTCAAGGACTTCAGTGTTGCTGACTGACTTGCCAGCTTTACGGTGGATGGTGAAGGTGATCAGCTCGTGGTCGCTGTCACCCAGCTTCCCATCTATCACTAGGTCGCTGACTAGGTCATCCCCAGTAGTAGTATATAGCAGGTGGGATCTAAGTATATAGCTATCTAAATCCCCTAGTGGGATTTTCAAAATCACTTAGGGGCCTATCTGCATATTTACATATTTAAAAGCCTTTAAAAAAAATCCTAACTGACTGGCCTAGGTCAAACAGGAAGCCTTGGGCAGAGCAAGAAACTGAACTCATCTCCTGAGTCATGAGCTACTATTTAAGCTACAAGTTCCTTTCTTCCACTATAACTTTTGTTTTATTATTCAATGTATTGAGACAGATTCTTAGCTTTTTTGAGGTGTCATAGACCTACTGACTTTAAATAAATCATTGCATTTTTAATAATTTGAATCTGATCCGCAGTTTTTTTCAGCTTTTACACATATGCATGAGATAGTAACTGCCATTATTATGGGATCTTCAAGATGCTCAAAATATGCTCAAAGCAGGAATGGTTTTGCATGATATAAAAGTAACATTTGAGGGTGGTCTATGGTGGGGAGGGAGAAACACATGTTTTTAAAAAAAAGTTTATAGTGCATCTGTAAAAACAATTGTTATGATAGATGTATGCAAACAACAGGAATAAAAGTTTACTGTTCTCTACCCAAGGCTATCAGTCCTAGATATAGGGATTTTTAATGAAGTATGCAAGCATGAAATCTGGAAACAATGAATGAATAATGGAGGGGTGAATAAGTAAATGACTGATCATCATCAATTCATGTTTTGAGCTTATAAAATAAATAATGGATAAGCATGAAAATACAGCTTGACAACTTGCCATCACTTTTTAAAGGGTTGCAAAGTTTATGCTTTGACTGCAGTAGAAAACAAAAGCAAAAAAAGGTGACATCTACAGCAGAAATAGGCACGCACACTTTTGTAGTCAGGCAGGTCAAGAATTAGGTGATTTTAAATGACATTTCCATATTATAAGATTTTGTTCCCATCCCCTGCTTTGCTTCCTGGTACCAAATAGCCCTAGGAAGTACAGAGGTGGGTTCTACTTTATAAGAAATATGAAGTCACAATAAGAGAAACTTTGTTGTTCAACAGAGCTGTATATAAGCAGCTGGAATGTGGTTGAACATATTTAAATTCTTCACTGTTACATAAACACATGCAATATTATACAATTAATTAATAACTATTCAGACTAGTACTCCAAAATGTGACTATCCACAATTTTTTCAGAGTTTTCTTCTGACTTCATTCAACTCCTAATGCCAAAGTCCTAAAAACACCTATGCGTTTGTTTAATCTGAGTAGTCCTAGTGAAATCAATGTGACATATTAATTGACTTCAGTGGAAGCTGGATCAGTTTTCAATCACCAATTAAATAACCAAAGGCTATTTGTGGAGAGTGACTGTAGCACTAGACAGTACACACAGGATTATAACATGTTAGTTTTACATTGGAATATTTCAAACAGCTTTGCTGACAACATAACAAGCTGTGTGCATTTGACATGGTCTCTTGCTCCCGATTCCACATGAAATGCTCTAATTAAATGATGTTCTTTAAATTTAACTTAATATAAATTCACTATGGTGAGTCCAACTTCTAGAGTCAGCTTCTAAATTCTGTATCTGTACTGACTCTAATTGATACTAGTACTGCTTTCCTCTGTCCTTCTCTATTATTGCAAATACAAGAATTGATCTCAAGATGTACTGACTCTCTTCAGCTGTAAAAGCTGTCTTTAATGAGGGTATATTTATTATTTTCAGTCAGCAATGCCAAGAGGTCATAATCAGTAAGAAAGACTTGTTGCATAAATATATCGTGCTCGATTTGTACATTTCAAGGACAGCGCATGTATTTCAGTTCCAGCCTAGCACCAGGACCATACCAGAATTCTTTGAAAATGCCTTTGCATTTCTTATGATCAAGGACCTGAGGAACAATGTCTTGCATTAAAAAGCTTGTCTAACTTTATTCCAACAACATAGCCAGTCCAATAAAACATACTGCTCTAAGAAATCCTTGCCTTTTGCATTTCTTCTCATTTGTGGAGCTGCCACTTCCTTGTAACAAGTTCATAGAGCAGCTTAAAATCTGGTTGTTAGAGACATCTACCAAAGAAAGAAGATGATCTCTTTTATAGTTTTCTAGGCTGGAATCAGTGAGACTCACAAACACCTCTCAGGATCAGAGATCATATATCTTTCCACAGCCTCTCAGCCTGGTACTTCCTATCTTTATTTTTTTGCTCTCATGGCCATCTTAGAACACTATAAAACCAATATATCCCATATAGCCTTTCTTCTTCAGGCATCTTTATCTCTCACAGAGTTCAGGAGCCAGCTGCTTCTTTGTGCAGCTCAGACAGCTCACACTCACCATTCAAGTTATTAAATGAACTCAGCAGGACAGTAGGAAGTACAGTAATGAACAAAGGAGGAGACCTTATGGCATAACAGTGTTCTGTTCTTTTTGCAGAATTGGTCATAAAACTTTGCAAGAGAATAGTGATTTACAAGAAGAGAAAAATATTTCAGTTAAAACAAAAAATAAACTATACAGAAAGACTGACTGAGAACTGAGGTAGTGAAAAGAAGAAACTTTCATTTATCCTCTTAAGATACGCACATCTGGTATTGTAGTGATAATATGAGGTGTAATGATTTTCCTCAGTAACAAGCTAGTTTCCTTGTACTTGGCCTTTGATTAAAGTTTTCAGCCATGCCATTCAAAAAAATATAGATAAGGACATTATAAAACCCCCAGAATAAGCTTGAGACCTTATCAAAACTGAGACATATTCAACCTCAATTAAAAGAGGAAAAGGACTAGATGTTAAACAAATCACAAACATTTACTGCAATGAAATATTAGTGTACATTAAAGCAGACCTGCCCATGAATAAAACATATTGCCCCCAGTACTCTCCAGGATGCAAACACTGCAGGATATATGCAGTCCAGGGATTCTACACCAGGGTCCTGCAGCACCCTCGGGTGTTGCAAGTTCCTTTTAAGGGTACTGCAGGGGCCCATACAATATTAGTACTGTTAGGTGTGCAAACACCTACACATGATTCACAAGATAAACCTGGAGAATTTAAAAAAGGAATCCATAGCGCCAAAAGCATTCTGGCTTCTTGTGGTCTTTCTGAGTTCTTTGCAACAGAAAACTTGCTCAGTTATTTGCCCATAGTAAAGAAATGAGTGAAAGATAAGAACTGGCATATTTTGAGGGGCACCTTGCATTTAAAAAGGTTAAGAACTACTAATGTAAACAAAATATACTTTCTGTCACAAAATGTTTGAGAACTAATTTTGATGAGGCAGTCATGTCTGAGATTATAATTAACTACCTAGCTTGTTAGATTTGATAGCTATATGTTCCCTGTTCCTGTTGGATCTGAGTACCTCCTTATATCTATTACATTTGCCACCACAGCATTCCTGTGAAATGTGGAAAAGGCCTTATCCCCATTTTACTGAAGGGAACTGACACCTTAAGATTAAGCAACATACCCAAGGTCTCCGAGGGATTCTCCAGCAGAGCAGGAGGCAGTTTCCCAAGGTCCAGAGAGCAGCCTAATCAGTGGACCCACCTTTGCCGCAGTGACCTTTTTGCCTCTGATTGAGTCCAGTCCTACTCAGTACTCTTGAATCACCCCAACTTCAGTTGATTTATCTAGGTGGTTCCAAAAATACTTAGCCCCCCTGCCCTCTCATAATTAGTAATTGAAGGGTAGCTCTCCCACCACTCAGACCAACAGCCTAGCAGTTGGGACACTTAGCCAGAAAGGGGAAGACCCAAGTTATACACTAGCTCACCAAGACATGATATGAACCCATTGTTGCTTCCCAGAAAGATACTCTAAATACCAGGCCATTGGCTGAGGACAAAACCACCCTCTAGACCTCCTCCTGGGGCTGGCCCGCTGGGCAGCCAAGCAAGGAAGACAGTAGGGATAGGAGGAGGAGGAGGAGAGTGATGGTCTCACTGATGCTTATCCAAGAAATATTAAGTGCAAGGCAGAGAAAAACCACTGGGTGCACAGACCAGAATTAAGGGGCCTCTCACATCTCACAGAGCCCTTGGTGAGAGGAGCTACACTTTGGGCAAGTGCCCTCATCACTAAATCACTCAGTTAAAATGTCTGAGGGTTCTTCCTCCCACCCTTCATCCTTTACCACCATGTGGGCAGTTACATAATGACTTGGGCAATCCTGTTCTATCACAGGTGGACTCTAGAAGTCATAAAAGTGCCAAAAATTGGACTTAGGCAGCTGTGTATGTGCCAGCTAGACCTTGAAAGGGGAAATAGGATTTGTTCCTACATGACGTTGAAATTTTAACACAAAACCCACATGTACTATTCCACTTTACATACAATATAAGCTTGACAGATGAGGAAATAAGAACAAAGAAAGGTGAAATGTTTAACATAGCTATGCATAACACAGGAATACCTGCCTCTTTCTTTATCAAGTTTGCACTGACAGGAATTTTATTATTTTGTAATTGTTGCACACCAGTGTACCAAAAAATGCAGAGATGAATAATTACCACAGATTTACCTTGTTCAGATGTTGATCTTCAACTGACTTCTCATAGATGTGAATTTTATCTTCCAAAGATTGCTTCAGGTTATCAATCTTATTTCTGTTTTTGGATCGTTGCTTTTTGGTCTTAGACTGTTGTTACAAAAAGATTATCACATATCATTTTTTAATAGTAGCTAAAGCTCCTATGTAGGAGATTGATATTGGTATTATTCCTATTATTTGTATTTATCCCCCATAAATTCCTCCATTAGTAATATGTGTCAGCAATTACTTTTATGAGAAATGTGTACTCTGGCTATCCTTTTGGAAGACCTATTTCTGCACTTTCAGACTAAGATGTTACAACAATCTCTAGATTTCTTAAATGAAAGTTTATGTATTTATCCTTTCATGGAAACAGGAAATGGAACTGCAAATGGAACTGCAAAGTTGTATTATTTCATTTTTTTCCGACTAGCACAGAAGTGACACATTTGATTTTGCACAAACATATACTGGAGGTAATAACACTGAGTGAATTGAAATGTTTCTCATCCCTCCACAACGCCATTAAAATGAACAACACATCTAAGTGCTGGGGTCATGTTGTAGCCATGATGGTCCATGGATTATGAGAGAGGCAAGTGTTTTCTTTGATTGGACCAACTGCATGCATAGCTGGGATAAAGTTAGACAATTTTTCAAATGCAAGGCAATCTTCATCAGGTCTGAGGGAAGAAGCAGGTACAATGACAGCCCCCCCCCCCGCCCCCTCAGTGGGTAGAGCTGTGAAATTAGAAGAGAGAAATTACCAGGGGAAACTGCTACACCTGAGGATTTTTACCCCCTCCAATTTCACAGCCCTACCCACTGTTAATTCTTTGCTTTGCCTGCTTGTTCTGATAAAGAATGCTTTCCATTTGAAAGCTCATCTAATTTTATCCCAACCATGCAGTTTTTCCAATAAAAACCCCACAAAATCCTTGCCTCTAGCAATGTATCTAATTCATTTAAGAATTACATTGTTTTCAAGATGCCCTACATGAATCATAAATGAACCAGTAATATTAAGGAGCACCCTACCATGCAATCAAATTATTCTTGACCTCTCTTTCTTTACAAGGATATAACATTAAGTATAATATACTCCAAGGGGAAAGGCACCACCTATTCAAATATAAGACTCTGCAAAGTCCTTTTCCTTTTCAAATAGTTTGGAAATTGTAAGTTTTTGAATAAGAACACTTCCCAATTCAATGAGCTCAATTTTGTTTATACATCAAGAAAATGTGAGTAAACCACGACACAACAAGGGAAAAGACATCACTTCCATTCTGGTACTATAATCTACAGTTCACAGAGAAGACAATTTTCTTTTTTCTGTGCAGAAACTTAAGGCAAAATCTGTAGGTTATAGTATTTGGCTAAGGTAATTAAACTGTTTCCACCTCAAACTTAAGAAAGCAAATAGAAAATCTGGTATCCATTAACACCTTGAGTCAGGTGCTCCTCATCTTCTGTTCACGTATATGGGAAAAGAAAAGTAGGTACATGTACCAAAGCGAATTATAATAATTTTGCAAAAAAAAATACATATATATATATATATATCAGAAAATAAGCTTGGCTTCTGGCAAATGAGTAGATTACCCACTCAAGGATGTGAGAGAATCATGCAGACTTTCCTTTTTTAAGTGGACAAGATCGGGACTGTATGTTCCCTTTAATGCTGTTTAACTGAATCTCCCTTTGGCCTTCTCCCAGATAATGAAGCAGACTGACTTAGCACTGTGTACAAGTCTCCATGGGAGTCTCAACCTAGGACACAGAGGACTAAACATACTTTCCAAACTCAGAGAAAAGGTTCAAAAGGCTGTAAGCAGGCACAGTATGGCTCTAGTTCAGCATTTCCCAACCGGTGTGCTGCAGCATACTGGTGTGCCATCAGACATGAACTGGTGTGCCGTGGAATTTTGGAAAAACCAATAAATGAACACTTTGTCTGTAACACTCTTGGGGGCGTGGCTCCAGCCAGTGCTGCACCTCCTGTGATGCCCAGAACCAAAGGGGTTAATGAGCAAATTATAACAAAAAAGATTTGCTCCTTGAGAGCATCTAGCAATGGTATATTGTTAATATTAGCTAAGACAAAGCTTGTAAGATGGTTTCCCACAGACGTATCCTGTCTGTCATAAGCATAACTGTAATGTTAAAATTAACTGTCTGTACCAATCATAAGACTAACATGGGCTCCAAGAAGCGGAACTAAAAAACAAAACTGCAAAATTTAGTTGACCTAACAGTTTTTGCTTAAAGGTCAGTAAAATTGACAAACCTGACCACAAGGTATAATTAATACATTTCAAAAAATTCCAAGTGGGTTGAACTTAGGCGGGAAAAAAATGTTAATCTCAGACCCCAAAGTGATGTGGTGTAATTTGCTAATTGGGTAAACCCAAGTTTAGGCAGTAACCTTTTATGATAATTTCTAACACCTTTTAACCCCATAAGGTAACAGCTGTAGGGTAAGATTGTGAGTGGCTCTAAAGCCAACAGATTAGCATAGGACAAGATATAAAGAAACACGCACGTCAGGTGACCAGTAGGAAGGACAAAATAGAATGGTCATTGCTGTTCCAAGCCTGAACTCCAGACTCCCAGTGTAAACAAGGACCAGATCCTGACTGAGGGATCTTCCCTGGTGCTCCCTTCGACAGTGTCTATCGGGGACGCCTGACTTCGCTGGATCAACTTGATGTGTACCTGGCACTGAGGGACTATCGATAAGTTGCCAACCAAGTGGAAACTCTTTGTCAATTTGTCCATCTGTTTTTATTATCACTGCCAATTTTTTACTTTTATTGCCATATTGTCTGCTTATTAGTTTAACCTTTGTATTAACTGTTATATGTGTAAACCATATTTTGCTGCTGAAACATTTTTATTTTCTTACTATAAGTAAAATTTATCTTTACTGTTGTAAGTGAAACTTATCTTTGCTTCACTCCCAACTCCGCCTCCTCGATCCCGAACCAAACAGCCCAGTGGCTGATGCATTTGTAGCTCCCAGTCGGCCTGCAACCAAATTGATACACTCACAGTGCCCAGTTGGCCTGTGACAACTCCACCTCCCTCCTGTGGAGCGGCAGCACCGCGGGGTGGTGGGTGGCAGTGGCGGCCATATTATCTGTTGGGGGGAGGGGGAGGGGGTGGTGTGCCGCAATTTTTTTTTTTATTTACATAAGTGTACCGTGGGATGGAAAAGGTTGGGAAACGCTGCTCTAGTTTCTTGGCTTCTCACAAAGTCTCCCTAGTTATAAGTTTCTTTTGGCCTCCTGCTTCTTCCATTGGGGTTATTTTTCTATTCTGGGGTAGTAGGATAAGCATATTGGAGGGAACAGGGTTTCAAGGTAAGGCAATAGTATTGCTCATTGTTGCCTGAAAAGTGTTTTTAAATGCTAAGAAGCTAATGAGGAGATGACAGAGTACAACCACACCTGATAAGAATGAGAACCTCTTATGAAGGTGAAGGGTTTTTGGGAATCCCTAGACAAAGCTGAATTTTTCAAGTGTTCGCAAGAAAGGAGATACTGTGCTAATGTATTGCACTGGCAGGAGAGGCTGGAGTCCAGCATACTGCTTTTACCTACCTGTAAGTGATAAATACATCGGGCCATACTATCAGAAACTGATTATATTCTGTTTCCCAAATATTTGGAAAATGCCCTGTTCTTAGGGGGATACCACTTAATTGTGTGCGTGTGTGTGTTCATATTAGTACACATACCTACGGAAATGTAAAGTATTCAGATACTGATCCCACCTGTTTGTCAGGTACTGTTAAGCTCTGGTCCACTTTCAACAACTCTGCTTCCACCCACTCTGACTGATAGACCTGAAGCAGTGTTTTTGCTCGTATCTTGGGCAAAGCCAAGTTAGTGTCCATCTGAGAAAAGCAACAGTGAAACTCTTGTCTTATATTAAGCAATTCTTCTTCTGATAATGAAAGAGGAAAACTCAAAAGTCTCCTGTAAAAATAAACAAACAAACATGCATTTATGTTAATTTGAACAGATTAAAATAAACAAGCAAAATCATGCACACACATTTCTACCATCCGGAGTGCTAAGGGTGGAACCTGAGCAAAATCAACTTCCCATAATAATTAATGTCCTCTCCTTTTCTGCCCTGCTTTTTAACCTGATGCTGTGATTTCACATCGGGTTTACTGCTTTACTTGTTGCTGTAGAAATTCCATGATAATACTTTAAATTCAATAAACAGAATCGTGGCCTGGAGAAAATGTGATTTTTCAAGAGAAAACAGATAGATTTTGCTTTAAAATAAATCTTTGGATCTGATCACAAAATTATTGGCTATTTCCCCCAGCGTATAGATTTTTTCCTACTACTCAGGTAGTAGAACAGCTTCAGGGTTAGAATCAGTGGACAGAACATCCCTTAAAAACTCTCTCTGCTGTTCCTACATGACTGGCAGCTGTTGCTGTTGACAGAAGCCAAAACACCTATTTACAGTCAAGCCCAGATAATGTCTCTCACACGCACACAAAAACAAGGTCTGTGATATTAAGCAGAGTTGGCAATAACAGGAGTTGGTCATCAGGTGGTGGTATGTGATGAAGAAGCCATTTGAAAGGTATTGCCAAGCAATAAAAGGCCATTTTCATTTTGAATGTACATTTGTTCAGGTTTTATACAGGTTGAGACTCCTTCATTAAGTGGGTGCCATAGCTCTACATTTGGAGGCACTAGATTTATATACTACCCTGTGAATTTTTGTGATCTAACGCAATGTTAACTGTGATTTTATATATCTAACATATATAATATATTTATATATCTAACATATATAATATAAAATATATATATATATATAAA